CCACATTTTCACTGGTATAAAACAGAATAACCCCAGACCAATGTGTGAACTGGTATTCCCATGATGCTTAGCCACCATCTTTAGCATTGCCACCATCACAAAATTACAATATTTAAACTTATTTGAATAAATAACCATATTGTAACCTAACCGAAAACATAACAGGCCGACACACAGTGAGAGGTGGCCAGCCATATCTTATTTTGGCTCACTTTCAGTTTAATAGGATAAATAGCCTGTATCATCCACAAACTAATTTGTGTGACAAAGTAGCCTTCCCTTTTTCTCTGTCTCTCCCACTTCACAGAAGGGTCATAACTAATATGTTTAGGACACTGACCCTGAGTTGATTAGCTCTTTTGTGTGCATATGGGGAGGTATTAACCTGTAACCTGCACAGTGAATGTTCTCCCGAGGGTTCTGTTAATACTATCACCTGTCAACAAATTAGTCAGTGACATTTGTAAAGGGGATTCATCATTTTAAACCTATGCAGGTGTCAGACTTGTCACCTTCAGGTCTGTGTATGAAGTAAAGTAACAAGTCCTATTAATTACAAAATGATTAGGCTCCGACTCTTAATTCTGTTCCCAGGGTGTCCACAAGTAAAGTAATCTTCAGGCTACAAATTACTTCTTTTTTCATATATTGTTTAAGTGATGGCTGTATTAAATCCCTTTCATATGACGTGTCTGCCTAAAGCACTTTGGGGCATATGTTACCTATTTAGAAAAAAGCAGTTCAGCAGCACAATTAATGTGCATTGAAATTTTAACAAAATACTTCTACAGATTCCCAAAAATGATCTGTTTATCTGTTTCTTCTTGTAGTCCGTTCTAAGGACGATAATCTAATTTATAATTGTGTTTTGTGAAACTGCAGTAGACGATTAAAGAGAATGAATTTTTAAGGAAAATGTTTTATCTAGTGTGATATTTCCATGATAATGTATTGCTACATTTGACCATACAAATGTAAAAAGATATTTTTCAGTGGTTACGAAATCTCAAAATGTTTATTTGTTTAGCTGGAAAAAAAAAGATTCCCTCTTCTCTATGTCTCTATGTTGCATTATTTCAAATATGGTGCATTTTAAAGTTTTTGTTACAAAAATATAGAGATTATAATTCTACTCACCTCCCTAGTTACAGAATGTTGATGTGTTGTCATTGCTGTATACCTTAATTGATTGAAGGTCAATCATACATCAGCCAACAACCAAGTTATGTGCAGGATCTTGATTTAGGTATCAGTATAGACTAATTTATAAACATATTAGTATAGAACTTTCGCGTCAATTTCACTTCCATAATCTGATTTCAATTCACATTTATTTACCCCCGTTTGCAAGTTGGCTTTCCTATGGAAGCAACAAAACATTGTGTTTAGGTGTAAGTGCTATAAAGTAGTGCGGCCAGTATGCCCAAATCATTGGCTGAATAATTTAACATTAAACTTCTCTTAGTAATGAGTAAAATCTCAATGCAGTATACCTTCATATCTAACTTTCGATTATTAAATGTCATGCAAAAGAAATTAAATCTTGCAATACCCAGAGATGTTTCCAATCCTCATTTTTCACCAATGTGAAGAGACTTCTAAAATAATAATTTTAAAAAAACTTGAGGTAAAACGCAACTATTAAATATAAAAATAAGTGGCACAGGGGGCGGAACCAAGCTACTAAACAGACCAGACGTGTGTTGTGAGAGCTCCCACGTCTGAAACTTCAAAATCGACTAAACTACAGAGCTAAAACTTACCTGGACGCAGAGCAACATTAAGCGTATTCCTGAAACACTGGTGGTTCAGGGGATATCTTCCATAGGCTTCTCTATACAGAGGCACGAGCTGCACAGGCCGGAGACGGTCCTACCTGGTTCGTTGAACAACATGCTACAATGTCTAGACAAAGTGTTCCAAAGATTCTGGTTATGGCTGGAGGCTCAGATGTCGGCCCCACAGACCCAGCATCAGGGGAGAGAGCGTAATGTAGAGAGCCTGGGCCTCCTCTGTGCAAGCAACCCCACAAGCAACTGTGAGACCTCCCACGGCTGAGGGCAACTCCGACTAAAATGCTAAAACCTCGATGGCCGAGACTCTACACCCACATGTGGTGGCTGCCTGTCACATGACCTCTAAAGTCTTACCTGCCAGCAGACGTTCTTGGGAACCTCTGCGACAGACACGTGGCTCTGGGCCCTGTGGTACAATAAATAGATAAAAAGGAAGAGACAGCGCCAAACAACCTGTAAAGGCAGCAACCCAAACACAGGGAATCCCCCCAAAACCCTAAAATACAAGATAAAAGCAAAGTATAAAGGAAGGGCTGCGCCAAAATAAACAATGTCCAATCCCAATAATAATAATTATTGAAGATAAAAAAGTCCAACCTAAAAGTGTCCTCTTTGTCGTCCTAGGGTACAGGAGCGTGATCTTCGGATATAATATATGAAAGATAAAAAGAGAGAACAACTGATAGTGTAGAATGTATAGTTCAAATGAAGAAAAATTTGAATAATGATAACGAACTCACAATTTTCAGAGCTTCTGTCCAGCTCTAGGGTAAAGCGCACACAGCGGTATAATCCCTGCTGATGGGATACATGGTGGGTTCGTCAGGGTATCCAAAACTTGAAAGAAGCAGAAACAGCCAAATAGTGCTCTCTGTATAGATATATGTCTTAAAGGAGAATAAAAAACGTACTTACAAGTACAGAGCAGGCCAACTGCTCCATGATGCCAGAGCTGGTGGAATAATCCCCACCTAGGATTTCTTTAATCAGGAACTTGTAGAGGTGGTGTTAAAAATCAGGATAAAATGTATATAAAATATAACATATAACTAAGAAAGATATGTAAAAAATAGCCAGGTTAAATGTATAAATAAAAGTAGTTGGGACTATAAAGTAACCAAAAACTTTAATATTTATTATACAAAATTATGTTTCCATAACGCGTTTCGTCGTGCAGACTTTATCACATGGAATTTTGTATAATAAATATTAAAGTTTTTGGTTACTTTATAGTCTTTAAGACATATATCTATACAGAGAGCACTATTTGGCTGTTTCTGCTTCTTTCGAGTTTTGGATACCCTGACGAACCCACCATATATCCCATCAGCGGGGATTATACCGCTGTGTGCGCTTTACCCTAGAGCTGGACAGAAGCTCTAAAAATTTGGAGTTCATTATCATTATTCAAAATTTTCTTCATTTGAACTATACATTCTACACTATCAGTTGTTCTCTCTTTTTATCTTTCATATATTATATCCGAAGATCACGCTCCTGTACCCTAGGACGACAAAGAGGACACTTTTAGGTTGGACTTTTTTATCTTCAATAATTATTATTATTGGGATTGGACATTGTTTATTTTGGCGCAGCCCTTCCTTTATACTTTGCTTTTATCTGGGCCCTGTGGTAGCCCGCATCAAGCAGCATGGACCGCACCGCCGTCGCCGGAGGATGACAGTGCATAACCATTCACTGCAGCGAGGCACCCACAAATCAGGCAGGAGAACCCCCAGCCAGACGGTAACACACCACGGAATGCTGAATGCCCCCCACCATCTGATATGCATCAAGGTACTTACTGGGACTTACCTCACTTGGCTGGCTAACTAGCTCCACTAGCTGGGACTTTGACTTGCCCTTGAAAGGCATTGGCTGAAGGATTGTCAAAGTGTGCGGCACCAGGCTCAATACCATGCTGTAATACCCTGCCTCTCCATACTCCTAAGCAAAAGCTAATTGGACTCTCACACCTAGCACAAGGGGCCTTATTGGGATGACTCTATCTACAGACAAGAGCCTTCTACGAAGTTCTATGCTACTATATACGTTTGTTGTCTTTCATGTAAAGTTCTATTAAGCTTACCAATTTCACTAAAGTAGATCATGCTAAACCTGCTTGTTTACAAAAGAAAACATGTGCAACACAAGCACCAGGCTACTGATACAAGCATGTTCTCACATAATACTCCATATTACTTTCTTTTTATCTCTCTTGTTTATAATATTATAAAATTTGCTGGTTTAACCTGTTATCACAGCTGTAATACATGATGTTGTGCATGAGGACTGCCGCTGGGGTACCTCTAGCGTGTTTGTACTTTTTTTTTTTAAGCACAACAAAAATACAAAATAAAAAAAATAAAAAATAAATAAGTGGCACAATTTCTCTAGCTGAATTGCTGGTGGGAAAGTGGTACAGGGCCGGCACTACCGTTTTGTGAACTAGGCGTTCGCCTAGGGTGCCAGCCTGCTGGGGGCAGGGCCGCCACCAGAAATTTTGGGGCCCCTAACTCAGCTCAAGGTCTGTGCCCCCTGGGGCCCACCTCCAAATACCGCCCACAGGGTCCGCCTCCAAATACCGCCCACAGGAATACACACACAAACACACACACTGATACAAAAGGACACAGATACATACTAACAGACACACATACTGAAACAGACATACACGCATACAGGCATACATACTGACACACACATACTGAGACATACACACATATACAGACACAAAGGCATACATAGTGACAGACAGACACATACTAACATACATACAGACACACATGCATGAGGACATAAAGACACATACATACATACACACTGACATACATACAGACACCGACATACATACACACATACATACAGACACTGACATCCATACACACATACATTCATAATGGCATACAGACATACACAGACATACATTCATAATAGCATACAGACAGACATATATGCATACATACATTCAGACTGACATACATGCATATATACAGACATACTGACAGACATACATGCATACAGACATCCATACACACATACACACAGACATGCGTTCATAATGATATGCAGACATACATTCATACTGACATACATATATACATACATACTGACAGACATACAGACATATATACAGACATATATATATATATATATACATACAGACATAATGACAGACATACATATTGACATACATTGATACATAGACAATCACCAGAACATAAAGAAACTTTTTGACCCGGATGATGTTACCACCAGCCAAATCTAAAGTGCTTTAAATGAGTGCAGCGCTATATAAGTGCTTAGGTAAGTGTATTCACTAGATCTTGGAACTCTTACCCTTTATCGTTTCTCTTGATACAATATGGTACATAAAAAAGAAGAAAAAAGAACATATACAGATAATAGTGTAATATGTCTTTAAATAGAGCGATTGGTGAAATAAGTGAATATATAAACTCACATTCGTTAGAGCCTTTTCTAGTGTTAGGCTCTAAACTTCTGCACGTCTGTGTCTTTTTTGGGTAGATCACACGACCCCTCTCTCACAAGGAAGATATGAATGTTCTCCACCGAATATATAAAAAACACAGATATTTCATACTAAGTAAATGTTGTCTCAGAAAAGGAAATGTTGTCCATATAAGAAAAAATGGAAATGCTCACCTTATTTAGAGCCCTTGGTAACCGGCTCTAAGTATATTTGCCCAGTGTCAAATTTTGGGGTGACACTGCCCCTCCCTTTCAATCACTGACTGAGGAAGCCGTTTTTTATCGGCGAAACGCGTTTTAGCTTTTAAAGTTAACCCATATATAATTTTTTAGGTCACATACTTTTATATTGTATTGGTATTTTACTGTTTTTTATTTTCTAGCTATTACAGTGTAATTATAATTTTATTTTATAATAAATTTGTTCCCATTTCTTCCTGACTGAGGAAGCCGTTTTTTATCGGCGAAACGCGTTTTAGCTTTTAAAGTGAACCCATATATAATTTTTTAGGTCACATACTTTTATATTGTATTGGTATTTTACTGTTTTTTATTTTCTAGCTATTACAGTGTAATTATAATTTTATTTTATAATAAATTTGTTCCCATTTCTTCAATTCATCCATTGCATCCTGTATAAGTGATTGAAAGGGAGGGGCAGTGTCACCCCAAAATTTGACACTGGGCAAATATACTTAGAGCCGGTTACCAAGGGATCTAAATAAGGTGAGCATTTCCATTTTTTCTTATATGGACAACATTTCCTTTTCTGAGATGCTACACTTAGTATGAAATATCTGTGTTTTTTATATATTCGGTGGAGAACATTCATATCTTCCTTGTGAGAGAGGGGTCGTGTGATCTACGCAAAAAAGACACAGACGTGCAGAAGTTTAGAGCCTAACACTAGAAAAGGCTCTAACGAATGTGAGTTTATATATTCACTTATTTCACCAATCGCTCTATTTAAAGACATATTACACTATTATCTGTATATGTTCTTTTTTCTTCTTTTTTATGTACCATATTGTATCAAGAGAAACGATAAAGGGTAAGAGTTCCAAGATCTAGTGAACACACTTACCTAAGCACTTATATAGCGCTGCACTCATTTAAAGCACTTTAGATTTGGGTGGTGGTAACATCATCCGGGTCAAAAAGTTTCTTTATGTTCTGGTGATTGTCTATGTGTAGTGGGTAATTAGGAGTACCCACAGAGTGTACACAGCAGCTGTACCATATTTCCTTTTGTTTATAACACAAAGCGCCATTTATTCCACATTTTTTCGTGTATATTCAATACATTGATACATGCATACATACAGACATCCATTCATACATTCATAATGACATACAGACATACATATATACATACATACAGACATACATACAGACATACATACACACACACACACACACAGCTCATTTTTCAGCCACCCTCCTGTCTCTTACCTTTTCTTTGCAGGAGGGTGGCTGGGGCTGATGGGAGAAGTTGGCACGGCTCTCCCTCACTGCCTGGCTTCGGTCCTCCCGCGCAGAGTGAGCTGGGAGGAAGAGCTGGGAGGAAATGACCACTTCCTCCCAGCAGCACTTGCTGCAGCTGCTTATTTTTTTATTTTTTTTTAAAGGGGCCCGGTCACGCTATAACACTGACCGGGCCCCTGAAGATATAGGGACCATCGGGTGGCCCTAAGTGCGTGGGCCACCTGATGGGCCCCATCAGCGTGCGGGCCCCGGTGCAAGTGTTGTTGTTGTCACCCCCTGATAGTGGCCCTGCCTGGGGGAGCCCACCGGGATGTTTCCTGGTGGGTTCCCCCTGTCTTGAACCGCAATGCTGGGCAAGCAGCTTTAGAGCCGCCCCTCTGTGCGCAGCCACTGCTCCAGGCGCCCAAAGGGCACCCAGAGGAGCCCTGTCACAGTATGCAGAGCAGGCACCTTCTTACCTTGATGACAGGTGCCTGCTCTGCCATCAAATACCGGTGCCCAGAGGAGAGGGGGGAGGAGAAGCCAGGCGGCGAGAGAGGCTCTTCTGCTCGCATGCCCTCTGTGATGCTGGGAGCTGGAATATAACATCACTCTGGCCCCGGCATACGAAACAGCGGGAGGGAGGGGTGAGTAGCTGCCCTACACTGGACCCCAGGGAGGTGAGTGTTTCAGTATATGTCAGTGAGTGAGTGTATGTCTGTGTGTCAGTGAGTGTATGTATGTCTGTCAGTGAGTGTGTGTGTGTCAGTGAGTGTCTGAGTGAGTGAGTGTATGTCTGTCAGTAAGTGTATGTGTGTGTGTCTGTCAGTGAGTGAATGTCTGTCTGTCAGTGAGTGTCTGGGTGAGTGTATGTCTGTCAGTGAGTGTGTTTGTTTGTGTGTGTGTGTATGTGGGGGAACCTGTCAGTGAGTGTCTGTGTGAGTGTATGTCTGTCAGTGAGTTTCTGAGTGTGTGTGTGTGTGTGTGTGTGTCAGTGAGTGAGTGTATGTCAGTGAGATTCTGTGTGTGTGTGTGTGTGTGTGTGTGAGGGAGTGTATGTCTGTCAGTGAGTTTCTGTGTGTGTGTGTGTGTGTGTGTGTGTGTGTGTGTGTGTCTGTCACTGTGTGTGTGTCTGTCAATGAGTGTGTGACATGAAGGCAGAAATCCTTGCACCGACCCTGAGAGTAGACAAGACCTAGCACTGGCTACTAAATGGTCCTTCTTGGCACTGTGCTTGGTTGGATATTCTCCAGATATTTGCTGATTGAGGTTTCTGATTGATGTCAATGTATCAAAGTTAAATGAAAGAATGGATTAATTTTCCTTTTTGAGTTGAAATACATTTTTTACTACACTTTTTTAATTTTAATGATTTTTATTAACATGGCTATTTTATTGTTAGAACATTTACATTTCAGACGTTTAGTTAACAAGACATCATTGTTACATACATATGTGGAAAAAAAAGTATGCATTTTTTACTATTATTTTTCTCACTCCTGTATCTTTACAGGACTATCACCAATATTCTTTTGTTTTTTTTTGTTAATTTGAATTACTCTCACTCGTGTATAAAATAGATGAACTCATACAATCATATCTCTTGTTCAAAGTTGCCCATTACAATTCCCTCAAAATTTGAGCAAAGTTCCTCCCACCCCAAATTTAATTGCGTTGGACAGAAATGTTGAATTATTGGCCAACATTCAGTAAAAAGTAATAACAGGGCGAATGTTTGAGAAGCATCAAGTTACCTTCAACAAAGCTCATATGAATATACTTATACTTGCATGTCTACGTCAAACTCGTATATTTGCAAACGTTTAAAAAATATTAATTGATTCTTAATTGTGAAATAAGAAATATAAAATTAACAGACTAGAAAAGAGTAACTGTAAATACAGAATACAGGACACATGTATCGTGTCAAAATAGGTGCTATTTCAATTCAAAGTACAAAATGTAGTGAAACATTCTGTTTGTTTCCATGGTCATTAATCCTTATTTTGAATTTTACCCCAGAGTTTAACCTGTATAAATAAGGAAAAAGTCTGGGCGAATTGATAACATTTTACTGCCTCACTTGGCCTTTTCTCTACAAAATTATAACTTTACATTTTTATACGTACAGAGAAATAAAGTGATTACGGTGAGATGGTAACATTTGATACAAAGTGACGAGGAAGTGTTTTTGTTCATTTGCTGCCACAGGACGCCTCACAGGCCTCTGCTTTGTTTAACATGTCTTGGGTCTGGAGACAGGCATCTCTGGGTAATGATGTTAAGAGAGAGACACTCAGTTCGTCTAATAACTTAGGAGAACTGGGAGTCAGAGACACAGATGAATTCAGTAGATTTTCCATATGATAGATGTATTTCAGGACTTTTGTCTGACAGAGAATACACACACGAGCACGCTTCGTCATCACAGACGGGAGTCTTATCAGTGCAAGCAATGCCATTATTACATGTAAAACGTCCTCCACATTCTTTGTAGAAGAACCAAGCATGGAACATGACATTTGAAACATGTTGGTTTCTATAAGATTGGACAAATGTTGGTCTGAGTGAGTACAACCCACACAATTTCTCTGGAATCTTAACTAAGGCAGATCACTAACAAGTTATTCATACAAACTTAACTTCACTTATAGCACTATCTGTGATGGCACTGTTTATTTACATATCACATATTTTCACTGCAAGTATCCCAAGAAGCAGATAATTAGACGTACAAGTAATGATTTACAACACTAACCTACACCAGAAGTCCAACAATGTTGAGTTACTGGCACAAGAGCCTCTTAGAACCACACAGTCTACATTAGAGGTGCCCAGAAAATATCAATGAATCCATTTTGGAACTACCTCAGGGTTACTTACCTCTCCTCCTCCAACGACATCCCAGTGGAGACATGGCCTCATCCACGATGGTGCTATACAATTCTCCTCATAGATCTTCCCATAGGAAACTACTGAAGTAACTAAATCTAAAAGACCACTGCTCCCAGGCCACTTCATTAAGATAGAGTGGTCTAGGAGACTTTAGTGGCCCTTTAAAGTAGTAGAGCTACCTATTAGTCATTTCTAATGTATAAAATCAGTAAAACTGACTACAAAGAAACCCAATATATTATATGAGCTCCATTCAAAGCACCAACCTGTGTCTGAAGCCACATGGGTATTGATGAATCTGTCAGTGGATATTTAACAGATCTTTATGTGTCCATATTCCATGCAAATACAGTAGTAAAATACAGTTGCAAGAAAAAGTATGTGAACCCTTTGGAATGATATGGATTTCTGCACAAATTGGTCATAAAATGTGATCTGATCATCATCTAAGGCACAACAATAGACAATCACAGTCTGCTTAAACTAATAACACACAAAGAATGAAATGTTGCCATGTTTTTATTGAACACACCATGTAAACATTCACAGTGCAGGTGGAAAAAGTATGTGAACCCTTGGATTTAATAACTGGTTGAACCTCCTTTGGCAGCAGTAACTTCAACCAAACGTTTCCTGTAGTTGCAGATCAGACGTGCACAACGGTCAGGAGTAATTCTTGACCATTCCTCTTTACAGAACTGTTTCAGTTCAGCAATATTCTTGGGATGTCTGGTGTGAATCGCTTTCTTGAGGTCATGCCACAGCATCTCAATCGGGTTGAGGTCAGGACTCTGACTGGGCCACTTCAGAAGGCGTATTTTCTTCTGTTTAAGCCATTCTGTTGTTGATTTACTTCTATGCTTTGGGTCATTGTCCTGTTGCAACACCCATCTTCTGTTGAGCTTCAGCTGGTAGACAGATGGCCTTAAGTTCTCCTGCAAAATGTCTTGATAAACTTGGGAATTCATTTTTCCTTTGATGATAGCAATCAGTCCAGGCCCTGACGCAGCAAAGTAGCCCCAAACCATGATGCCCCCACCACCATACTTCACAGTTGGGATGAGGTTTTGATGTTGGTGTGCTGTGCCTTTTTTTCGCCACACATAGTGTTGTGTGTGTCTTCCAAACAACTCAACTCTGGTTTCATCTGTCCACAGAATATTTTGCCAGTACTGCTGTGGAACATCCAGGTGCTCTTGTGCAAACTGTAAAAGTGCGGCAATGTTTTTTTGGACAGCAGTGGCTTCCTCTGTGGTATCCTCCCATGAAATCCATTCTTGTTTAGTGTTTTACGTATTGTAGTTTCGCTAACAGGGATGTTAGCATTTGCCAGTGACTTTTGTAAGTCTTTAGCTGTGCTCTTGCAGTCATCTTTACAGGACTGCAACTCCTAGGGAGAGTAGCAGCAGTGCTGAACTTTTTCCATTTATAGACAATTTCTCTTACCGTGGACTGATGAACAGCAAGGCTTTTGGAGATACTTTTATAACCCTTTCCAGCTTTATGCAAGTCAACAATTCTTAATCGTAGGTCTTCTGAGAGCTCTTTTGTGCGAGGCATCATTCACATCAGGCAATGCTTCTTGTGAAAAGCAAACCCAGAACTGGTGTGTGTTTTTTATAGGGCAGGGCAGCTGTAACCAACACCTCCAATCTCATCTCATTGATTGGACTCCAGTTGGCTGACATCTCACTCCAATTAGCTCTTGGAGATGTCATTAGTCTAGGGGTTCACATACTTTTTCCACCTGCACTGTGAATGTTTACATGGTGTGTTCAATAAAAACATGGCAACATTTCATTCTTTGTGTGTTATTAGTTTAAGCAGACTGTGATTGTCTATTGTTGTGACTTAGATAATGATCAGATCACATTTTATGACCAATTTGTGCAGAAATCCATATCATTCCAAAGGGTTCACATACTTTTTCTTGCAACTGTATATT